TGCTGGGTTACCGGTTGGACTCGATGATCTTAAGGGTCTTTTCCAACCCAAACGATTCTGTGATTCTATGGCGTGTGTGGATGCACAGGGACGGGGACGTGCAGGGACCAGGGTGCGTGGTGTGTGAGGGTGCACAAGGGCTGGGGTACGCAGGAATTTGGGGTGCACAAGACCGGGGCGCACAGGGATCCGGGCTTCACGGTGTATCGGGGCACACGGGGCTCTGCCCTGGGACCGGGGTGCACGGTGTGCCAGGGTGCAGCGGGACCGGGGTGCACGGTACTGGGGTGCTCGGTGTATTGGGGTACACAGGGACTGGGGTGCATGGTTTATCGGGGTTCACAGGGACTGGGATGCACGGGGACCAGGGCACACGGTGTACTGGGGTGCACAGGGACCTGGGCCGCGCAGGATCCCGGGGGTGCACGGCGATCCCAGGAAGGCGCAGGGTCCCGGGGCTGCGAGAGCCCTGGGCACGCGAGGGTGCCCTGCGGGGCAGGTTCTTCTTGAGAAACCCCCATTTTTGGTCAAAGACGACAATTTCTGCACTTCAGGAGCCTTTAGCGCGTGAGGTTAACCGAGCTCACGGGGCGAAAGCCACCCTCAGGGTGCTAGGCCTGGAGTAAAGCCCAGCTAAAACCGGTTCTTGAACATCCCCCCTCAGCACATCGATGGATTTAGGGACACTGAACCAGAGGAAAAACCCCAACAAGCATTTGATAAAACAAACTCATTTAATACGGGAACCGAATGAGCCATTTTGTGACCAGTCCCCCAGAAAAAGCCCGGGGGCGGTCGCCAGCAAGAGTCGGTTCACACCAAAAACCAGCAGCTCCCCCCTCGCAGAGATGAAAAACGAGGGCACCGGTCCTGAGCACAGCACAAATTCCTCTTTCCCCCCTGTCGGTGCAGGCCTGAGGCCGGCGGTAAAAAAATACAGTACAAAAATCTATTATCGTAAGAAAACACGCGTTCTCGGCCCCGGTACCAAGCCGCTGTCGTCGTCTCCTAGGTACAAGTGGTTTTTTGGCGGTTTACGGCGAGAGCGGCGGTTGTTCACCGAGACGCAGCGAGGGCAACACGGCGTCACCCTCCTCTTCAGCTCACAAAGTTCTTCAGCGTCTCGGGGCTTGTGGAATTTTACCCCCTTTTTAAAAAAAAATAACGAACTGCGGTAACCACATACACTTCTAAACCCCTCATTTGTCAGAATTTGCAGCAGATTCTTCTCCCTCGCCCCTTATATAAAAGTTTTTTGGCAAATAGCGAACGACTCCTTCTTTGAAACAAATCCAAGTGGGTTTTTTTTTCCCCCAAAAAAAGGTACATCCCCAAAAGCCGGGACTTAAAATCCGTGAGTTTATACAGCCTGGTCTCCCGCCGAGGTGCTGAAGCCGCGTGCCGGTCCGCGAGGCTCCCAAAAGAAGAGGTTCCCCACGAAAAAAGGTGATGGGAGCAGTAAAAATAAATTAAAAAGCAAAGGCGGGGTAACGCTGCGCTTGTGCTGAAGGCACCCGGTATTTCAGAGCTTGCAAACGTTGGATGGCATGCTGATTTGGTTCAAAAAAATAAAAATTAAAATAAAATAAAAATACAAATCTTATTTACGGGAAGCAGTCCGGCACGGTTTTCTCTTTCCTTCGCGCCTGCAGCGCAGACCCCCGAGACATCTCGTGGGGTCTGAAAACCCAATTCCACCAATAAGCAGGGATTAAAAAAAAAAGAATGTTTTTCTTATCGTGCCTAAGAAAACGAAGCAAAACGAGTCTCAACTTCTTGACTTGGCTTTTCTCGTGCTTATCTGGAATTTCTTGGATCCTGAAGGTGGCCAAATGGCTCTCTCTTCCCACGTGATAACTCGCCCGCGGCTGGGCACGACCTGGGGAGGGCTGTCCCAGCCCTTAAACGTGGTTGGAGTTTAGGCCCGAGATCAGTTAAGCGGTGACGGCAGCGGCAGATACGTGGAACGGAAAGAGCAAAGGGTTTTTTAAAGAGGATTCGTTCAGGTGAGGAGCCGGAGAGAGACAACCCGCCTGGCGGTCGTACGTAGTAGCATTTCGACGGTGAAATGTTTTAAATAACATCGTCACAAAACCCGCCCGGGAATTACAAACACTTCCCCTCTGCCCACAAAGCAGAGCTTAAACCATCCCCTTCCGTGGTAAGTCCGGGTTTAAGTCAACAGTGTAACGATGCTGCTCGGTTCGTCTCGCCGGAGGAACGTCGTTCCTCCGAACCGGCATCCCGCGGGAGATGTTATTCTCCAAAAATCCACAGGACGTTGACTCCCGATAAACCAAGGTTGACACGCCTGCAAAACCAGAAGTTGTCGTCATAAATCGCAAGGAAATAAAAGCGCCCGTTTAAAACAGGAAACGAAAAACCTATCAATTCCACACTTCAGCGTTTTAACATGCAGGGAGGCGTGGTGCGCTGCGGCGAATCGAGCGTGGCTCGCTCGGAACAAAGCCTGGACGCGGCTTGTATTGCTCGCGCGCCTCAGATTTATCCGATTTTATGAAAAAGCTGCGATTGTTTCAAACGAGAAGGTGATTTTAACACCACCGACATCATCCCGCCGCAGCGCTTTCAGTTTGAAGCGCCTTCGGGCAAGGCGTTTCACAAAACGGGACGCTCCGTTCACGTCTCGTACGCGGCGCAATGACGCGTAACATCGGGAACTTACCCCAGCATCCCGGATTCTTTTGTCTTTATGATATACAGAAACATAAGCAAGGTATGGAACATGTTGTTCCTGCCCTGAATCCACAGGAAAAAAGAGAAGAACTTAGAAATCAAGTCACTGCTGAGAAATCACAGCAATAGCGCAGGTGGAATAAGCGACCGCAGCGAAAGACGAGGTGAAATGCCGTGACGGGGAGCGTCGTCGGGTTTTTTGCCTTAATTCTTTACTTCTTTCAATCAGGTAAATACCAGAAAAAGACCAAACGTGGCTTTTGGCTGGATTATCATCTCCAAATACTTTAAATGCCGGAGCTTTTTTGGAAAGCAAGAACCAGGGCTTGATAGCAAATGAAAATACAATATAAAATAAAATTAAAACCCACAGGAGAATTTCACTGGTTTGAGACTGGAAGCTTCCCCCCGAATTCCTACGGCCCAGCACCGGGCTTGCTGGCCTTACGGGGTGACAACGCACATCAGGGATTACACGACTCGGTATTTTAAAATAAATTGGGAGAAAATAAACAAGAAGAAGCTACTACTGAGGTACTTACGTATCTTAAATAGATACTAAAGCTGTTTTTTAGTAGCAGACTAAGTACCACGTCCTGGTCGAAGACCAAACTAACGTTTACTTCCTGCTCTGAGCCAGCCCAGTCAGTCAATAAATTGATTATTCCTAAAAAAATTGACTATTCCTAAAAAAACCAAACAAATCAGAGCTGCCAACGATTTCCTGGCAGCAGCAGAAGACCGCCGACAGCATCGTACCTTGGGCAGGTTGTAGACGTGGCGCTGGTAGATCAGCTCGTAGTGGGGCGGGTTGATGCTGCTTTGGTAGATACAAAAGACGTTTTCGTTGGAAGTGTCTGCGAATGAAAAGTTTAAACGATGACGGGGATTTTCAAGGGCGCTGACGTGATCCAAGAGGCAAAGAGCGGCTAAATGTCAGCGCTGGTACCTGGTTTATCCGGTGTCTGAAGGAAGTGTTGGGAAGTGAAGGTTTTGCCGTCGGGATACTTGGGGTGAGGCGGCAGCCTGGAGTCAAGGTAAGTGCAGAACACGTGCATAATGATCTGGGCAAAGAAAACCAAATCTCGCTTTAGTGTCCCTAAAAATACAGCAGCTTTCTTGCCATAACCTCAGGCATTAGTTCCAGTATTTGATAGTCTGGGCTTACAACTTAACCCCTCTATGTTTAGGCACCCGAGGCAGCTTAATGCTTAAAGCAGAGATTTCAGCGGTCTGGGCGCGATGCTGGGGCAAAGGCGAGTTTCTTTTTTTCCAGTAAGTGAAACAGCGTCGGTCCCCACGCGATAAACAGATCATAGAACCATAGAATCGTTTAGGTTGGAAAAGACCCTTAAGATCATCGAGTCCAACCATTAACCCAGCACTGCCAAGGCCACCACTAAACCATGTCCCTC